CCCTTGAAAAAAGTCTCCTCCCATTGATTCCCTCATGCCTAGTTTACTATCCAGGAATTCCTATCTAATGGAGCGGGGTTTTTTTGTAGCTCAATTTAATCATACAGTGTTTTATTTACCATACTTTAAATTTGTATTGCTAATTAAAATTTCAACAGTTGGGCTTTTCATTCTGCTAAATTGTGACGCCATGTGTGCTAACATTGGCATCTTTCTTTTTCATTGAATAACATTATATTGAATAACATTATAAACGACCGTCAATCCAAAACACCAAAATTTTCCTAGTCAAAGCCTTACAGTTGGAACCTCTGGTAAACGACCACCCACTGTAAGCGACCGCGACCACCTTTTGGGCCTAAAAGCTTAATGATTTTCTAGTTTTTTTAACTTCTTGTAAGCGACCACTTGACGCATTCTCTGATCTTTTTGCTCGCTGTGTGCACTGTGCTACTTTGAATATACGAAGAACTTTAGTGACAACATGGAAGTAAACATGGTGCGACTTAGAAATTGCATGCAATAAATTATCTTCCATAGAGTAGATGTGCCAGGGCCTCTTCTCGGATGAGGCCTCCTGTGGTTCAGTTCTTGTAAAGGACCACCTCCCGGAAGCGACCACTAAGCCTTTGCATTTTGGGCGGTCGCTTACGGGAGGTTCGACTGTACTTTATCTGCAGTAGTGTTTCTAAGATCGGCGTATACCATTCCAGGCTGTTGAATTTAATTTCAATTTTGCTACTTCCTTTGTATTACTTTCATGAAATTTATAAGAAGGGCCCTCCAGGTAACGCTCCCTTATCTGAAAAGGACCACCCAGAATCAAGATTAATGATCCCATGGCCAGAAATCACGGGCATTTTAGCCCGCGCTGTGGTATGCGGCGCTTAACAACAGAGAATCCAATATGGCGGACAAAAAGAGTGCTTTTTTCGTAGATTACGCACAGCTTCATAATGTACATGTTTCATGAGCAGCAGAAAATGCAAAAGAAGGAAGCTGTGCGAGGTGGAGAGAACAATCGACCGGCGGAAAACCAAACATGTGAGTCGATATTTCGTGTCAATCCTGAAAGTTGATCCATTTGTGTAGCTAATGAAGCAAAATGGCGCCTCCCACTTCCCCTCACAGGTAAAAAACGGCCATCCCCAGAGTAGCTATATAGACCCGAATTTAGTATCAGCCTATAAAACAAGTTCCATTATGCCTTATCAAGTTTGCCGGATACATCTCGTCAACAAACTACGTAGTCATTGGTGTAAAAAGGATTCAAGTTTATTGATTCAACTTAATTACAAACCTATTGAATAAATAAATTAAACTAGAAGACCAGACTACCATATATTACCTTTATAATATATTAACGTTACATAAACTCTATTTTAATTTCTTGTGTTTAATGTGCCTAATCTTATTCCTTTTCGCGTTATTTTGAGTTTTGCCTGGATTCATTTCTTTCATCTGGACTTGGGGATGGCCATGTATTTGTGTGACGGCTATCGGGTGTCCCTGAACACTTGGTTTCACCTGTAAATTTGTCTTTGCCTGCTGTGGTACCAAAGCCACCTTGGGGCTATTTACTGATAATTCAACTATTTTCGGCATAATGTTCTGCTTGTCTTTCATAAGCGCCTTTTTTGCAGGGATTTGAGACTTTTTACAGCAGTTTAATTTAGGGCAGAAACCAACACAAAATTTATCACAAATTGCTGGACATGCATGTAGGGAGGGACTAGTTGCCGGTATTCCTGGGAGACCAGGTGGACCCGGTGGTCCTGGGGGTCCTGCAGCTCCCTGATCGCCTTGATCCCCAGGTGCTCCCATAGCTCCCATTGCTCCCTGGTCTCCTTGAGGACCCTTAGGTCCAGTTAAGCCTGGAAAAAATGAGGTTTTAATCTTTAGAAATTTGAGCCCCCTATCTATAAAGCTACACCCCAAGTTTCTTAGGCATTCGGAAGTACTCACCAGTGGGACCAGAAGCTCCAGCAGCAGCTGGAGTTATGGGGGCAGTGCTTGTAAAAGTAGCAGGAATACCGGAAGGTCCTGGTGGCCCCGGTGGTCCAGGGGGTCCTGCGGCTCCTTGATCCCCTTGATCCCCAGGTGCTCCCATAGCTCCCATTGCTCCCTGGTCTCCTTGAGGACCCTTAGGTCCAGTTAAGCCTGGAACATAAAATAGAGGTTTTAATCTTTAAAAATTAGAGCCCCCTATCTATGAAGTTACACCCCACGTTGCTTAGGCATTCGGAAGTACTCACCAGTGGGACCAGAAGCTCCAGCAGCAACTGGAGTTATGGGGGCAGTGCTTGACGAAGTAGCAGGAATACCGGAAGGTCCTGGTGGCCCCGGTGGTCCAGGGGGTCCTGCGGCTCCTTGATCACCTTGATCCCCTGGTGCTCCCATAGCTCCCATTGCTCCCTGGTCTCCTTGAGGACCCTTAGGTCCAGTTAAACCTGGAACATAAAATAGAGGTTTTAATCTTTAGAGATTTTAGCCCCCTATCTATAAAGCTACACCCCAAGTTGCTTAGGCATTCGGAAGTACTCACCAGTGGAACCAGAAGCTCCAGCGGCAACTGGAGTTATGGGGGCAGTGCTTGACGAAGTAGCAGGAATACCGGAAGGTCCTGGTGGCCCCGGTGGTCCAGGGGGTCCTGCGGCTCCTTGATCCCCTTGATCCCCTGGCGCTCCCATAGCTCCCATAGCTCCCATTGCTCCCTGGTCTCCTTGAGGACCCTTGGGACCAGTTGCACCTGAAGAAATGGAGTAAATTTGATAAGAAACTCGAACATCTAATATTCATGAAACAGCATCCCCAAAACCATTAATTGTAATTTCAGTTTCAGTTTATTAGCCAGAAAAATATATATGTATACAAAAAGACATTCAAGACATTACAAAAATATCAGTTAAATATTAAAGAGACGTAATTGTATGTAAAAGAATTAACCTTATATAATAAATAAATAATATAATAAACCCTTGGGGTTTATTATATGAGCTCCCTCCTTAACCTAAGACTAATAATCATTATTATTCATTCAAAATATTTTCCCGATTCTGGTTGGCTAAAAGCACGCGCATAATTCACCATAACCAGCTACTGATGGGGGACATTTCACTAGTTTCAAGAGTAAGAACTAGGCGAAATAATAGCTAAAAACATGGCAAGAACAGCAAGAAGACAACTCGAAGGGCGACATCTGCTATTTGGAGAATATTTGCGGAGCTGAACAACCCTAAACGTGCTCTAGCGAAGATCAACTTAACATCGATGGAGGTAAGCATGTTTTAGCTATGTATTTAAACTAGGAATTATTTTGAATGAATAACAAAACAATTATTGAATTTGGCGTTCGTATCATATGAAGAATTATGGAGATCGTATCTCCGTCATTCCTCATAAGATACTCAGCCTCATTCATTAATTGTTAAATAAATAAGCGGCGAAATCATACTAAAACATAATTAGGATAAAAAGCAAGCAAACCAAGACAGAAAAAAGGAAAAAACAAGTGTTATTTACAACTGGTGAATCAGCTAAAATGAAATGTTTTCAAGATAGTAGTAGCAGCACTTTTTATATCGTAATTAAGTGAACTGAAAATTGTAGGACCCTGAAATCTTATACGAAAAAGTCTTATATTGGTTCATGCAGGAAATAATTAGTGTGTTTTTGAATTTCTGGTATTATAGGAATGAACTTGATTGGTCGTTAAAAACATTTCTTTGAATACATTAGGAAGCAGGCTTAATTTATAAGAACACATAAACTTTTCAAGTTGAAAAAAGTAAATTTGAGAGAATTCAGTATTTGCAAACTTTTGAATATAAGCTAATATAGGATCAGTGTCAGCATCAAATGGCTTCTTGGAAATAATTCGAATTTTTTTTCTAAAGTATGACTATACATTTCAAGTTTGTCAGAAGTCCTGACCTGTGGGACCAGATGCTCCTGCAGCTGGACTAACAGGGGCAGCGCTCGTAGAAGTAACAGGTATTCCGGGAAGTCCTGGTGGCCCTGGGGGTCCAGGGGGTCCTGCGGCTCCTTGATCACCTTGATCCCCTGGTGCTCCCATTGCGCCCATTGCTCCCTGGTCTCCTTGAGGACCCTTAGGTCCCGTCATACCTGAATGATACAAAATTTGCCTCGGAAACAAGATTGAAGCAATATGGTCTGTACAACATAAACTTGCCAATTGAAAATTGATTTGCCTTGCCTTACCTACAACTATGATTTTATTTTTTTTGTATGTTTAATATTCTGTGTTGCATCTAATAAATTGCCCTGGATCTCAATCTCTTGAAAGGCATATTTTCATGATTAGAATTATAGCGTGAGTTTAATGGGAAATCTCCCGATAGTAACAAATCAGAACGTAAAGTAACAAAACATTGCCTAAATAGAGCATGCATTCTACTTTTTGACAAGTAAAGCTGTTTGACGTTAGATTTGTGACAAACAACATCAGACTCCACTATCGATCCACTAGTAATCTAAGTATATGCCTACCACACCTCAATGGCAAATTCAAAATTCAATGTTTCGGACGCCATTACACTGTTTTTTTCCCGACTTTTTAAGGGCCCAAAACATGATTCGAGTTGATCGAGGGTAAAATTATATAGAAATGATCTGATGGGAAACAAAAATTACTTCGAGTTAGAGGGAGATTCGAGTTATCGAGGGTTCGAGTTACCGAGGGTAAAATTACAGTAAATGTATGACGGAAATCGAGGGGACAGCGATTTTGGTTCGAGTTAGCAAGGGTTCAAGATATCGGGAGTTAACTGTATAATCTCCTACCTGTCGGTCCAGCTGCTCCAGAAGCCGCAGAGGTGAAGGGAGGTGTTACAGAAGACGCGTTTGAAGCTGGTGGACCAGGTATGCCTGGAGGACCAGGTGGTCCTGGTGGCCCGGGAAGTCCTGCTGATCCGGGGTCTCCCTGAGCACCCGGTGCTCCCATCGCTCCCATTTCCCCTTGTGAACCTTGGGGTCCTACTGGTCCTTATTAAAAGAAAAAGCATGCAACGTTACTTGATATGACATGGTAAATGCGTCGTTTACGATCAAAGTGCACTTACTTTTACAGACACAAGTAATAAGAGACAAATATTACAGACTACATTTACTGACACTACAAAAGAATAAGTATTTTACCCGTTGCGCCTTGTGCACCAGTGGAATCTGCAGGAGCTGCCGGGCCTACTGGTTCTAATATCACAAAAAAAATACGAAATTTAATCATAATAGCTGATATCATTATCGTCGTCATCATCGTCAGCATAACAAAGTCATCATCATCATTAGTATCGTCATAATGATTTCGTAGTATCGTCATAATGATTTCACAAGCACCGCTAAAGAGTGCCGCAGCAGCTGGCTAACCAACCAAAACAAAATATCCATTAAGCGTCTCTGCATTTCGTAATTGGACTGTAAACTATCGTCTAGTGGACGGTGCGCATTCTATCTGAGCGTTCTTAATGGCATATTATGAGAAGGCGTGTGTGGCCGAGCGGTTTATACATCGAACTCCGGATCTGGAGGGCCTCGCCCGTCTCGTTGTTTCCTTAGACAAGGAACTTTACTCCACATTGTCTCTCTTCAACCAGGTGTATAAATGGGTACCGGCGACATACTGCTGGGGGGTAACCTTACGATGGAATAGCATCTCGTCCTCCTTCGCATGCTTCATGCTAATAAACCGGGATAAGCTCCGGCCGTTTGGGCCTCTTGCTAGAGTACGCCTTTAACTTTTTTACCTAATCGGTTATTATAATTTTGCATATTCTCTCACAGCCATATTGAGTCAGAATTAAGGAAATGATAGTGAGGAAGAAGACTTATCATCACAAACTTCTAAAGTATCCATGGCTAAAGATTATTGCCTCGACTGCAAAGCCGACCAGCTGGTAAAGCCGCCTGGCGCCTACCCGTTGGTTTGTGATTCAGTGTTGCTCCATCATCAGGCCAAACTGGCAAGGGTACTCCTAAAAATAGAAGGGAGAAACAGCCTCTCATTATTATTATGTAAGCCCCGTCCGCTCTTGTAGCCACTTCTGATGCACGAAGGAAAGCCAAAGTTAATGAGAATGATATTAAGTAATACTGGTTATAGTCAACTGTAGATTCTTTTGATTTTGCCACTAATTAAATAGTTCTTTAATTGAGCGGAGACCCCAGTAGCAGTAGATAACATCCCTTGGTGGTGCGTAGCTTAGGTTAGATGAAGCAACGAGAATAATGAAAGGTCAGTGACCAGAGGGAAAATCATTTGACTTGATTAAGCACCTTATATCAGTGATTTTGCTAAGACTTCGTTTACATGACTGTAACTCAAAAACTGTCCGGTGCTTTAACAAGGTATTCAAGACAACTTCTCTTTATTGTAGTACGTTTCCAGCGGTGAGTCGACTGTGGGCAACCTTGGCGAACTTATGGTGAGCGTAAATTCAGGTTCCGCGAGCTCAGCGAATTTACTTAAACTCAGTAGACTAGATGGCACCACTAAAATCTAATTTAAATATGATTGAAACTAAACCTGCTGGCCAAGGCTTTCCAGGTGGTGGACCATATAATATAGGTGGTGCTGTTGCCGGAGGTCCTGGAGGTCCCGGTGGACCAGGTGCCCCTGGGTCTCCCATTGTACTAGGGGAGCCTTGATTTCCCTGTGCCCCTGCTGTTCCTGGTGCTCCGTCTGCTCCTGTTCCCACTTCTGGCCCACTCGGAAGAGGAACTCCTGAAATAGCCAACGTCGCATGGGTAAACACTATGTTCAGAAACTCATGTCTGCACGTCAAAGCATGTTTTCAGCGTTACGCCTTGTAGTTGGCAGACCTTCGCTCCCTTTGATAATTGCATTGCATTATTGTAATGGTTTGGAGATTAACACATTTTTGGAAATTTTCTTTGTTGCAATGTTTGCCAAAACTTCGAAAGTAAAATATAAATATAGTACCTGTGCAAACCTACGCGCTTGTTTCCTCGTTCTCTTGAAACTTATGTACGTACAAACTCACAATAATTTAAAGCAAGTTTGTAATACCTGCCGGCCAAGGTTTCCCAGGTGGTGGACCATATAAAATAGGGGGTGCTGTTGCCGGGGGTCCTGGAGGTCCCGGTGGACCAGGGGCGCCCGGATCGCCAACTGCTCCTGGGGAGCCTTGATTTCCAGCAACTCCTGCTGTTCCGGTTGCTCCATCCGCTCCTGTTCCCATCTCTGGCCCACTCGGGAGAGGAACTCCTAACATGCCGAAGTCGCATGGGGTTAAGTTACATGTATATACTGTTATCTTCTCCAAGTTAAAGCATGTTCTCATCTTTACGCCGATGAAGTCGGCAGATCATCAATCTTGCATAATTATGAGGAATTATTGCACTGATTTTGGGAATAATCATTGATTTTCCTGCAATACTCACAAAAACTATTGAAATGAAATTTAATACGGTACCAGTGTAACTAGTGCGAAATTATAAGTTTGTCTTCTCATTCTCTTAACTAAGAACGTACATGTTCAAACTAAAAATACCTCCTTGGGTATATCTGAGTATTTTGTCCGCAAATTTTTAATACCTGCTGGCCAAGGTTTTCCCGGTGGGGGACCATATAAAATAGGTGGTGCTGTTGCCGGAGGTCCTGGAGGTCCCGGTGGACCAGGTGCCCCTGGGTCTCCCATTGTACCAGGGGAGCCTTGATTTCCCTGTGCCCCTGCTGTTCCTGGTGCTCCGTCTGCTCCAGTTCCTCCTTCCTTGCTGGTCCAGGTTGGCAGCGGCACACCTGCGATGAGAGTGCCAGGAATAGATCAGGGCTCAAATTAACAGCCGGTTAACGGACAATATCCGGCCAAGATGACCCGGTCTTTTTGACAGGATACATAAATAAATGACCACAATTAGAATGAAACTAAAGTTTTTCACTATAACGTTTCAGGAGGACAAGCATCTCTTTTCGCATAATGTTTTTGCTTGTAAGGCTAGTACGTTCAAGTTATCGTACTCTTATTTCTAACATTTTGCGCGTTCAGAAGACAGGCAAGGCCGAGATAAAATTTCTTTGCCCGATCCGCGCAACGAGCGACAGTTCAAATTTATTTTGAGCGACACACACCGTCTTTGGGCAAAACATCTGCTGCGGATCATAATAATTATTCGTACTGGATATCCTGTTTTACTGGTGCCATCCTTATTCTTCCGCTAACTTGAAAAAGTAGGTTGGAGATCGTCTGAATTACAAAAAGAACACTCAACGATCGGAATCTGAAGATACCATATATTTATTAATCAGTACTCTTTTCGCTATTATCATAATTTTTTTTAATATAGAGTACAGCACAAACCTGCTGGCCAAGGCTTTCCGGGGGGTGGACCATATAAAATGGGCGGTGCTGTTGCCGGCGGTCCAGGAGGTCCCGGCGGACCAGGAGCACCCGGATCTCCAACCGCTCCTGGGGAGCCTTGATTTCCCGCAGCTCCTGCCGCTCCAGTCAGGCCACTCGCTGCAGCAATTCCTTAATTGTTAAGAGAGCGTGGAGAAATGAATTACGATTTATACTTTTAGGCATACAGTCAACTCTCTCCAAGACGGACACCTTCGGGACCGGCACAAAGTGTCCGTCTTAGGGAGATGTCCGTCTTATGAAGAGTCAAATAAAGGGAATAAGCAAAGGCAGGGACCAACTCTAGGTGTCCGTTTTAGAGAGGTGTCCGTCTTATAGAGGTGTCCGTTAAGAGAGTCGACTGTATTTTTGAATTTACTCATGCGTTGAGCAGATCTATGTTGGCAACATGCAATATTGACCTTTTATTAAATAAAAGAGAGTCGCCAATAATTCAAGATCCCTTGTCATGCGGACCATTTTTGGTTTCAAGTGCGTAATTTGAAGAGTACAAATGGTGACCTGAGCAGCAAATCCTTGCTCCCTTACAAACAAAGGAAAAACGTATTTCTTAGAACAGAAGTTCCGGTTACCTCCAGATGCAGCAGCATCATTCTGTTTGCAACAGTCGCTGCGACATGTGCTAATGCAGATAGTCTCACAAATCTCTGGACATGGCGCGATGGCTTGAGTACCTGGAACTCCGGGTAGTCCTGCTGGTCCTGGAAGACCCGGGGGACCTGGAAGACCCTGGTCTCCCGGGATGCCCATGTCTCCCATAGCGCCCACGGGGCCGTTTTCACCAGGAACTCCTTTCGGTCCTGTTATAAAAGGAATAGTTATTTTTTATAGATAGTGGAATTGTTGAATAGGTGCCCAAGCTGTGGTTTATAGACAATCCACTGAAAAATATCAGAAACAACTTGAGCTAACGAACCCCCCGATTGCTAGTCAAACGGGATTTACATTAGGGAACACTGAACCGTAATGGCCTACTACTTTTCCAGAGTTCGAAGTGAATACACTTTGTATCCATGTATATACAGTCACAATACCAATGTCATGGCACAAAACGGCACAAGGCGTGAAAATGAATAAGGTTCAAGTGGTTTCAGGCGACCAGAACGTAACCATCTCTTTATCGAGTAGAAAATAGCGACTTAAAAGTGACAGGTTTTCGACCCCTCCCCCCTCCCTCCCCACCCACTCAAAACTGTTGAAATCCAAATGACAAACATGTCAAAAGGACAGGTCTTTAAAAAAAAAAAAAAAACACATTAAATCCTCGTTTAATTTTTGCAAAGTATACCAAATTATTCCATATTGTGAAAAAGAAGTGACCTTACCTCGACTTCTGTTCTTTCAAGATAATCAACAATCACCCGCTCGAGGTCGAACTACATATGTTTGTTTGATTTTTTGGCTCCGATAATTAGTGTTGGGTTGTATTGTGGTTTGATCTGCTCGCCTGAAGAACTTTTAGGGAATCTTCATAACTTGCTGGGTAGAGGTTGAGTAGATTAAAAGCTAAAGCTAACAAACTACGCCATAATATAAGCCGCTGACTGTCAGAGACATTTCGATCTAAACAACTTTGACAAGTTTCCTTGCAGCTTACCCATTGGTCCTGTTTGGCCTGCTGGTCCCGGGGGACCAGCGGGGCCCGGGGATCCCATGTCGCCTGGTTCACCCATACTTCCAGGTTGTCCTGGACTTCCAGAAGACCCAGGAATGCCTTAATAGAAGAGAAATATTCGTGAAGATGATTTACCGATAACTGAAAATTAGCTTATAGTAGTCTATAATTTCGCACCATACAACCATCTCGTCTAAACAGAACAAAGTAATAAAGTAAGCCCCCTTCCAACCCTCTTTTCAGTGTTGCTTTGGTCTAGAAACTAAGGCGTATAACTTTGGTGTTACCCTTAACGGATAAGGGAAGGCGACAGGCATTTTTGTTATGTGTGTAAACAAGTTTTTTTCTGAGCTTGTATCGTACTTACCAGGCGGACCAGCTAAGCTACCAGGGGCTCCAGGCAGTCCTGGGGGTCCCGGTAGCCCTGGAGGACCCGGCATTCCCTTAGGCCCAGTTGGCCCAGGAGGTCCTACCGGGCCTACAGGGCCATCAGGTCCTGGTGGTCCAGGCTGTGGCGGAGGAGGAGGTGGGGCAGGAGCTGGGGGTATGGAGTAAGGGTTACAGCAGGTATCAGAACATTCTGGTGAGCAGTAAGATGGACAGCTGTAGCCGCAAGGGAAAGCTTCACGTTTGAAATCTGAAAATAAAGAAAACACTGGAAATTACTGGAGGTACTGGAGGTGGAAGACAGGATCGGATTCAGAAGGGCAGGTCTTGCTAGCCATTTCCACCGTCACCAGCAATTCAGTTTGTCCTGTGGCGGCCAACACACGGACACTTAGTGTCTACATTCATAGACTGGGCGGCCAGTCGACTAGCTCGGCTGAGGCCACCTGAATCAATGAATCAATGAATGAATAATTGTGGTTACTATTCGCTCCTGAAGTGTTGATAACGAGGTTACACGAAATGTGACTGGATCGTGTGACAGAGATAAGAGAAAGGTTTGACGTAGATTTTCTAGTCTGGGTGTAGCGTTAAAACAATATAACGTGGTGACTTCGCCCTGAAGCATAAAGCAATAGTCCATAAAATCAATCGACTGATTGGGAAAATGTTTCAGCCGTTGATACATTCTTAATGGCCACTGCGGTAAATAACTGATTTTTACCTTAAAATTTGTTCAGTTTTTGAGGGAAGGGAAAGACAGGCATGGTTGTTTTGTTGTCAGTCAACCTAACATTTGGATAGCAGAATGTTGGCAGGATCGAAAATTCTTCATGCGAGCCCTTTTTCCAGGTTGCACATGCCTTTTATAATAACCTGAAGTCTTTCCGGAGCCAATGATCAGATATCCTACAAAATTCTACCACATTTTTTGTTCGTCAACCATGAATCAGGTCATGTATAAAAGATGTTTGTTATATTTTACACGATAGAATTTGGCGGCTTTAAATTAATTGAAAGCCATTTGAAAAGCTCTTAAGGTTTCCTCTCCCTGCGTTCTGGCAAAAGCGGGACGTCTATTTATAACCTGCGGGTTTTTGTTTTTGTGAATTGGTCATAGCTACCTAGCGCCGGCTAAACCTGCTGTTATTGTTACAGCAGCTTGTAAGTTGACAATCACATCCATGGCGCATTTGAGTTTTAACCCTGCTAGGGTTGTGCTTAATATAAAGTTAACGTCCAGATGCTAATCTTAGAGCGGTTCGGGATGCAATTGACTTCTCTACCTCTTTTTATTAGAAAACGGGAAACAGATTATTTATATTGCTTTTATAACTTTAAATGCTTGATTTTACATGTTTATCATGAATCTGACTTACCTTCCTTGATTGCGTGAGGATTTGTGAGGGTAACATTGATCATAAGCCATGTTAAATACGAAATAAGGGACCATTTCGTCCAGTCCATACGCGATAGTTGCTCTACAGTAAAACGAAAGGTACAATCATTCACTTTGATACTTAACAGAAATCTTAACTAAAAAAATATTTAGTCAAATATTTATATTACAAAGAAAATTCAAATTTTTCTCTAAAAAAAGAGTACAAAAAAAATTACGCTATTTTTGTCGTCAGCCGTTTGAAAAATGGCCTATTCAAAACGCTAACATAATAATAGTGTGTTTGAAACTTTAAAGAAGTTTAAACATTTAGACAGCAAACAGGCCAGAATAGCTGCTTTTAAGATGAGCGTTGACAATAACAGGCAAACTTACTTTGTGCCGTTTTCCCAAAAATTTCGGCTGCGAAAACTTTAAATATTCCTTTATAAAGTTCTCTTGGTTAAAATCTACTAAGTCAGCTCTTCGAGTTATTGTTTGAAGCCTTATTTTAAATTTTTAATAAACTTCGAGATATTTTTCTTTGTATAATGTTAACCATAAATAGCTTACCCTTATTTGTTTGATTCTGGTACCATAACAGGTATTTAAACAATTGAATTCTCCCAGTGGATTACCAGGTACATGATTGGAGAATTCATGGATTGATCATATAAACCGTTTTTGAAATGATCAATTCATTCCTTCTCATTACTCTTTGCGCCTGTAGGGCTTTCTAAGTGAGGTGAGGAGAAGATGACTTTTGATCCTTTTGCTTAACTCTTCAGTCTGCGCTCTTCTTCAAGTAAGGGGAAAAAGGTCTTGACATGTAAATAATTATAGCGTCAAAAAGGATTTCCGGATTAAGGAAATAGGCAAGAGATTGAGTTTTTATCGTAAGATAACTAATATCGTTTTCTATCACTTGAACAAAGGTTTTATTTTTGTTTCGTTCGAAAGAAAGAGAAAACGTGGGAAGGAACTCATTAACGTTTTTTGATTATGTTTGACAGCCGGAGGATACTGTAATTACACTACCTGCTCAAAAATTCAGCAAAAAGGCTTTTCCAAATAACCGCCCGGATTATCGATCGTCTGGTTTGTCTAAAATTACGGCAGCACCCTTTGAACCAGTTTGCTTAACACCCAAAAGTGTGCCTTTCAAATAAAGAGCTTGACTAGGTTCTTGAGGTAAAGGAACTAATTTAATATCCGTTTCTTATTCTCATTCTTCGTTAAAATTTTAGCCGTTCTGAAAATATCTCAGTTTGCAAAACATACATTTACTAGCCAACTGAAATAATTTTGTGAAAAGCGTTCGTTCCTTGAAAATCACCAATAAGTCATAATGAGTAACATTCATTTTACTGATTGACACGACTGATTTTGCCTAGCTGCCAACCAAAGCTAATAGATACTGTAGCTGATACCAATAATCGGAATGAGTAATACATTTTTCTGGCCAAATTTATTTATTTGAGCTCTTTGAGCAAGACTTGTTCACTGGCCTCTAAGACAGGAATAGGATTAATTAATGAGGGAAGGTAAATTTAGCAGATACACATTCTCGGTGTCATGACATATAGTGCCGTTTGATTTAAACGTGACATTCTCTTTTAACAAGTCAATATACGTATAGAAGATTCAATATCTGTCATGGATGAAATAATAATTTTAAATTGTTAGAATATAAATGACCCAGGCTATTCAGAATAATTTGTATGCGCATAAGAAGCTATGAGACATTACACCCCCATACAGAAAGAAGCTAAAACGTAGATTAGGCGAAAAAGGCAAAGAGTGAGGTCAACTTCATTTGCATTTCGGGCAGGTCTTCTCTTTCTTCTTCTCTGCTGCCACCATTCGTTTACTATAAACAAGAAGCAGGACGAAAACATCCCTTACAGACATGATTTTGGTAAAGAGGGCGAAAGGGAAGATCGTATAAAACATTTTGGTATGTCGATTTTTTCAAATTGGATACAATTAGATGCTTTTTTTCAATTAATCTGTACAGTTCAGTATATTATATATATATATATATATCACTATGAAAAAACTGTAAACAATAGATACTTTATACAGCTATAACAGCACTTTAAACTACTTAAAATAGGATAGGATCAAATATAAAGGTGACTATAACGCAAATATTAATCTAGAGTATATAATTTATAGACGGTTCAAATTCCGAAGGGAAGAATTAGACAAAATAAACTCAAAAATTGGTACGAGCTCAGTTTAGCCACTCATTTACCGGCGTGGCAAACCAACTACGCGACAGACAAGCCACGCGAACGACTTCGTAAACGCTAAAAGCCATGCAAGAGAGAAACGTCTTTTCGCAGGGTACCACTCATTTTAAGAATGTATTAAAAGATATTAGCTACAAACCGTTTTTGCATCTCTTACAATTTTACAAGTGTCTTTTTCTTTTAATTAAAATTGTTTCAAGTGCTTTTATGAAAGCACTTTTCTATAAAATTTCATGTGACGGCGCCAAAGAGTTTTTGCACTTAAAAAACGAGAGATGCCCGTTAGGCTAGTTGGACGTCAGAGCTTGTACCATGCAGGGTTCGCTAGCCTACCCGTCCTGGCGACTAGCCGCTGACCACAGAGCCTAGATTACAGCGCTTCTGACTACTTAGCCTGTTTCAGGCGTTCAGATAGTCAATTTAACTCGCTACCCACTAACCGCCGCGCTCTACTATTTGAGCGCCTGAAGCAGGCTACTGGCTACTTAACAATTTGGAGAGTCATTAGGGGTGTTTAGTATTTTTCCGGCGAAGAAATAGCCTGCGTAGCATGGCGGTTTTGTCGGGCGCACTACTGAGCGTTGAAGCCGCAAAAGCGCGCTCGCTAACGAGAGTTGCTCCCGCCCTAATCCTCGCAGTTTCACTACCCCCACCTTGGCTTGTTTGCGCGCCTGACCAAAACCGCTTGGTAATTCCAACTTTTTTACGAAATGCTTTCTAATTGCAAAACGTCTACTAGTCGAATATTTAACAATTATTCGTCGAGCCCGAATGGGCTCTGAGTCAATAGCCCATGAGGCCGAAGGCCAAATGGGCTATTGACTCAGAGCCCATTCGGGCTCGACGAATAATTGTTTTAGTAAAATCTGACTAGTTGGTCAAAAATATAGGGACAAAACAACCTTAGCTAGTTAAAGCTAGACTTTAAGTCTTTTTTGCCGCCGAAAAGCCGGCGATTTGCGCTACTAGTGGGCTATAACATATAGCCTAGTAGTAGCTCAACCAATCAGAATTAACGCAGCATTGATAATAGACCACTAGTTGGATTTTACTAAATCGCTTTATCATCTTATGTATGCAACTCAAATTTATGATGCTCTTACTAACCTGTTTAGATGTAGCTTTCACTGATGTTTCTTTTTTACAAACAGGTCAAGAACTGAAAGGTTCCAAAAATCGACGCGTGGCGTTGAGTGACTGCAGTGGAGTGCCATATGACCCACTTTTCTATTGGGTTTATGTTGCAGTGGAGTCGTGACACCAAAAACAGGTTCAAAACCAAAATGCTGTGGAACACGCTCATACGATTATGCCTCAGAATTGTGTTGCCAAGGAAACATTTATCCGAAAGACGGTCTACGGCCAGGCTGCTGCGGAAGTGTTGCATTTGATGCCGAGTTCTTTTTGTGTTGCGGTGCAGATCACATTTCACCCAAGAGAGGAACAAACCCAAGAAGCTGTGGAACCCAAGGATATGATCCTGCAATCGAAAGATGTTGTCCTGGCTATGTAGTCGTTACTGGTCTTCAGTGCCCTTGAGCTCTGTTTATGTAACCAAAAAACGAATTATTACATTTATATGTAAATTTAAGGGTGGAAGGGTTTTTTATGTCAAAATTAAAGGGGTAATATTCAGTCGTCGTCCGTTCTTCTGAAGCTTACTACAATCATGCATCTTGGATATCACTAACCGTCATTCGGAATGAGCATTGAAATTCAGTAGAAAAAAAGGCTAGATAAATGTTAGAAGACATTTCTTTGAGTTTCTTTCTTCCTGTACGTTGTAGCACTCTTTTTCCAAAGACTCTTATTTCATAAGCTAACTTTCGACATTCAGGTTATAATTACCTTGTAATAAATATTAAGGCAAAGAATTTCATGCTCAGGCTTAAGTCACCAGCAAACTGAAAGAGCGAGTTTCAGTGATTATTACCTTACGTCAGTAATTCAATAAAACCCAAGTCACGTCACTTTGGACATATATTATCCTGCGAGGATTTTACTGAATGAAATAACGTCGCGTTAGACTGTTCCGAAACATCGTGGAGAAAAGGGCTTACTCTGTAATGGGGCAGCCATCTTGGATTCAAATGTGTGTACCGTGTGTACATGTATGCATTGAGTGGGCCTCGCGTCACAGTGATCTCAAAAATCTTTCGGAAGAAGAGGAGACAGAAGTTAAACAGTCTAAAACCGCATGAGCTTGCTCCGACGAATGCACCATTCGAACGTTTACCTATTTCTTAATTTTTTTTATTCTTAAATCTAGGTAAAAATCTAATTCCTTTTTATGATCATCAGTTTTCCGATGTCTTTGGTTTAATTTAGCCAAATATCAGTCGCTCCTTCTGCTTAATGTTTCCATCATGAATTGTGGACCACCAGCGATATTAATAGTATTCAGGCTGAAAAAAGCTAGCATGAATAGATGGAAAACAAACCCTTTGTATATGAAAATAAAGCCCTGTTGTTAAGCTCTCCTTCTGCGAATAAAACTAAATTAGCAATTTCGATGCGGTTTGTTAATGCTATTAGAAGATTCTATATCAATTTCCTCACCGGTTTTATTACACACGTCGAATATACTAAAAGCAGGCCTTGCTCAAAATAACGCTTATGGCTCTTGTGTAGAAGAATGGCGTACCATAATATTCCTTTCAAAATCAGTCAAGTATTTTGTGGCCAGCACGAAGATATACGTACAATTTCCGTCCATTTGTGAGTCATGTTCAATTAGCGCCTTTTTCGTCAATGGACTTCACATGGAGCTAAATGGCAAAAAAGGGGCATAATTTTTGAAAGCGCTTTTAAACACATCATGATGATAAATAAGTTTTCTTGTGGACAAGCTTTAATTTTCTTTATGTTTTGGGTTAAAAAGTTACAAAATTACTGAAAACGTAATATTATACACGAAATGCCAGTCAGATGACAAACAAATTATAAAAGAAAATGAAAAGCTCGGGCTTTTGACACATTTGACTATTAGCGCGCAATTACGTATGGCTCAAATGCAATTTCCCGAGGAGATCATTCGAAAGCAAATTCCAAATAAAAATCCTGTAAGCAAAGTTAATATCCTGCAACGTTGACTTTTGTCTCAAAAATTTACATTCAACAATTTTGACGCACACCAAAAGCCTCCTTGATTTCTTCAGTGTCTTTTTTCCCGGTGACATCAAGGAATGGCCTATATCAGTTTTTTATGCATCAAACATGTTTTGGCGGCTGTAAAATTTAATTATTTCATTTTTTGTGGAGCTGCAATTATTCTAAGCGCGATGTTTCTTGGTAAGTTTGTTTCAGTAAGTAAATTCTGCTCTGCAAGCGCAAAGCAGTTTGAAACATTTTTAACTTATATGTTATGTAACAGTTTAAAGAATTATAGAGAACGCAGAATTGCTTGTTTCCCAGACGCGAAGAACGCGAGCGCATATTATTATTTTTATAACAAAAGCGTCAACTTTTTCGTCGTATTATTATTTTTTATGTGAAATATACTTGCTTAGCTAAAGTAATGACGTTGAATCAAAGTAACTATTTGGATTATAACATAAAAAATGTCGTAATCATGTATTTTTACTCAATTTTTCTGATCGACTCATTTCTTTCAATCTGTGAATTCTCCAGTTTATAGTTACAGTAATGTCAAGTGGTTTGGAAAACACATTTGTCTGAGACGTTTATATAGGACTAGATATCTATTTTAATAACCTACACATGTATTCAAAAATGTCTTTTATTCATCCATTTGGTAATATGTACTTTTATTTCATGATTTTACTACGAGATATGTCTTGCTGCGATGTAGATTATAGGTTCAGCTTTTATGCTTATTCATTATTCTTGTGAAGTAAAAAACAACTTGAAGGCATCATGGATTTTTTTTCACGCAATTTTTTAACTACTATGCTACTACTACTGAGGAGTCATGCGTTATTGTGCAATTCGGGCCTAAATTTTTAGAGGCAGCCATTATATTTCTGCTATTAATGCCTTTTTTTCTTCTTTTTTTTCAAAAAAGGCAAGTCAACCTTTACTTAACGCCCACAGGCTAATTATAAAAATATAAAAAAAATTGAAATGCGAAGCGCAGTCGGAGTCTAAGGTTGCGTTCTTTTTAGCCAAACTTTTTTCGGATTTAGACAATCTAGATCGTTTGGATTTTCGTGCTAGCCAGAACAAAAATCTTAAATAAGATTGATCCGTATACAGCAGCTGCTTTTTGCACTGATTTTCTTCTCAATTCTTCAACATAGCGTTTCTAATTTCTTTCCGCTAAATTAAGCGTCTTCTATGAAAAGAAAAGTAGCTCTTTAACTACTGGTGGTTCATACTGGGACTACTCGACTTAAAAGTATCTGGAATTTGATTCAAGAAAATTCAGAAGACAATTACGAATTTTCAAGTGCTTTGACGCGCGCTCTAAACACACACACACACATTGGACACTATAGTTTTATGGTGAGAAAATCCAAGCGTTTTCGCTCCCTTACGGATTTATAGTTACAGTGGAACTTGAGTTTAATACACTACAATCCTTTAGCGGCATAGAACAACGGAGGAGTATAAATAACGTTTGCCTGAACTAACCTTGATCCGCCGTGGTTATCGATGAAAGAGCACATTCTTGCGATCGAAAAGCAGTTTCATTAAATGGAACAAAAATCTGAAACCAGATTGAGATACCAGTCTGAACGATTGAAGTGCGGAGGTGGATCGTTTAGATTGCAATCTTTGATTGGTTTAGTCATTAATGGAACAAAAAATCAAATTTCGGATCGCAAAATCCTGATTTAGATTGGTCAAAAGGAATGCGGTCTAAGTGAGATCTTTGTTTAAAGTCTTATATTTTTAAATGTGAGGCTGTCTTACCAGTCAATCAGGATTTAAGGTTTTTGTTTGTTTATTTTTTGCTTATATAATTGTCACTTTTCATTAAAATACAAGACGGTGGTCACCTAAATAAATGAAAATGCAAAGCGATATGAATGTAAAGCATAACACTGCTGACACGGCCATTACGTTTTCTTCAGGTTTAGAAGGAAACGCCATTGCCTGTAAAATACAAAAGTATCATTTCCACGAAGAACATCTCACCGTGGATTCTGTGGAATTTGTTTCACTAAACTGCTCAATAGTGCATGGAGCACCAGCAAATACCATTTTATGGAGCAATGAAAAATATTGGCATCCTGTGCATTCAGTGTCGGTACCAGGTCTGTGGTCAAGCCTACAGATACGAAATGTCACCCAAAAGGATGCTGGGACATATAGATGCGAGGTGAAGAAGGGCACTGATAAACAAGTTTGTGAAGTAGTTCTTTGTAAGTTAGTTTTGGTTATAAGAACTGATTGATCCGCTTTACTTAAGAAAAGTGTTCTTCTTGGATACCGTATATCATGTAACTTACTTTTGCAAGTGGTGGAGTTGGACGCTTTCTCACGTGTTTTATACTTCACTTGAAAAAGACTCCATCGCTTGTAAAACATTCCGTGATGAAATCGAAAGCTTGTGTTTCCTATCCTGGGATTCGATACTTGCTTCATTTACCGTATTTATTCGATTAACCGCCCTGGGCGCTTATTAAATATTTAGACCTTAGGAGTGGGCGCTTATTCGAGGTGGGCGGTTATTGGAGGCTGGGCGCTTATTAAGTTTTCACCATTTTCAGCAAGTGAAGTATGTTTATTTTGCAACAAAACAATAAATGCTAATACAAAAAAGCGAAGAAGTAACAAAGCAGGGTTTCTGTAAAATACTCTGAAGAAAACTCCCTCCTGTGGGAAGTCTCTTATTAGTACTTATTCAGTTTCAATTTCAATCTCATTGTCACTCAAGTGGGTGGGGTGGGGGTGGGCGCTTATTTCAGTTTGATTGGAAGCAGGAGGGGGTGGGCGCTTATTCGAGGCTGGGCGCTTATTATCTTTTTCTGCCGTTAGGATGGGCGCTTATTCGAGGTGGGCGCTAATTCGAGGATGGGCGCTTATTCGAATAAATACGGTACTTAAAAATCATTATGACGGGGTTCAGTAGTACAGGTGAATAACCCGAAGAGGTTAAAAATTCTTTTTGAAATAATATAATGTAATTCCGTCAAAAGGATGGCTATGGATTTCTTTCTTTCTCTTACCCTTAAAAAGGCCCTCCAAAAATTTCTAGAACACCAGGTTACTTCACCACAACACCTCAGCTAATTGCAGAAGGAACTGCCAAATACGTCTTCCACTGTTATGCCTCTGGCTGGCCAAAGCCTTCATTCACATGGCTGAAAAACGGGACAGAAATTAAAGACGGTGATGTGGACAAGTCATATGTACTGATAAAAAGGTCTGGTGGCCTTGAATTAAATATTCTTTCTGTGACGAAAGAAGACCACCAAGGTCATTACAGCTGTGTGGCGAGAAACATTTTCGGGGAGCGACGATATGGCATTCTTCTTATGGTTAAAAGTTAGTATCCAAGACTAAACAGTTTTTTTAAGGCGCTTAAGACTCACAATCGTTTGATGATCATTACAAAAGAACCCCTCTAACCTTCTAGCTCTTTGTTCGCAAGTCTCAGTTTCTTTGTTGATATACAAAAGCTTCAATCATCATTTTCAGCGCGTTGCTTCGTCAGAATCATACCGTAAAATTCCGAAAATAAGCCCCTCCAAGTATAAGCCCCTCCAAATATAAGCCCCCCAAACCGGCAACACAAAAAACCCTCCGTTAAATCGCCCCTCCGAATTTAAGCCCCCAGGGGGCTTGTACTTGAAAAATTGCCCTCAAATACAAAGTAAAACAAAGCAAAAACGGTAAATTTACTTACAACTATAAGGCTAACCCAATCGATTTTGAAACGCAAATTTCCTTCCGTAGAAAGCCCCTCTGAATATAAGCCCCTCAGAAAGGGCCTGCCCCGGGGCTTATTTTCGGAATTTTTTTATTTTTTTTTTACCTTAAAAAACCATTAACCTGATGTTCATTATTTTAAACTTTTTAAAGACAAGTACAGTGTTTACCGTGTGGTAACTGATAATTCAAAACCTCTCAGGGATTTAATAAACAGCATTCGCTGGCTATCCATACCATTTCGACTAAACCCGTAAATCAGTGTTAAAAGTAGGTGAACGGAAAGTTATCTGTTTTGTTAAAAGTAAGCTTAGGTACAGTGTAGATGTAATAAGGGCAAGTTATGTCTATCTGATCATCGCTTTGTTTGGCAATGACGGCCAAAGATTGTAAAATTTCATAAACCTCTCTGTCCTTAAAGAACGTTTCGACTTCTCATTAACTAAATTTCAGAACAAGTTCCACTGCGACCACTTGCCCACGCACATGTCAATAAGGTCTCCAAATACACTGGCGAGCCAGCCCTCCTGACATGCGTGGGACTATTTACTACAGAAGTAACTACAGTTATCTCATGGGATTTCAATGGGTCACAACTGAACCTGGACACGGACGAACATTATAAATTGGACTATGTGTATTTTGAAGAGGATATGACGCCCAAAGTAAATTTTTCACTTCTGATAAAGAAAGTAACTGAACGAGATACGGGGAAGTATCGCTGCAGCGTTATTACACCTGGATGGAGTGCTTCTGACATGATTTTCCTAAGCCTTGTGAAACCGCGTAAGTTTACAGATCATGCTTCAAACACTTTAGCAAGGAGGGATGGGGTGGAGACAGGGGGATCAAAACTACTAACCCCCTTCCGTACCTTGCATTTCCAGACCTCGCCCTTTTTTCTTGTCTTCCTACCATTTAGCCTGCAAGCAACCTCTCCGCCGATAGATCTCTCTTCACCCCGCCGCCAGAGAGCCCTGGAGAGCTTGCTCGCAGGCTATCCTCCCTTCAGCCCTTTTGTCGATTGCAAAATCTCATGCATTGTTGGATAATTTCCCCTTATTTCTCCCGCTTCCCCTCCCTTTCAAACTCCCACCTCCCGCCTTCCCAGGCTCCTATCCCCTGTCCTCTTCCTCACTTTGCCATTTTGAAAATGTTAATGCAAATATTAAGGCATCTCTGAGCCGTTAGCAGTCGACACTGTCCACCAAATCAATGTAAAGGAACACAAACAACCAAACAAAACAGAAAATTATGCCGCATAAAAAGTTAAAAAGTTAAAGTTGTTTATTTACTTACCCAGATATATCTTAAAGCTCAATTTCCTCAAGCTTTTTGTCATTTTTTATTACAGCAGATTTTTCACATCGGCGAAGGAACGGTAACATTTCATTAATAGAAAATCTGCTGGTGAGTGCAGCAGTTTTTTTGGTTCTAGGAACTGCCATACTCGTTCACAGAGTGAGGACCAAAAGAAAAAGAGATCGAAAACGTAAGATTTTTTATCTTGTTGTTATTACTAATACTAAACGGTGATCTCGAATTCTTTTGATCTAGGATTTATCAAAGAAAATGATAGAAAATCGACCATCAGCTGTTTTCAAAAGCAGAACAAAATGCAGACAGATGTAAGGATTTATACCAAGAATTCACTGCGTCCTTCACCTTTCGATCAAATTGTTGTGATATTCGATGAATAAAGAACAACCAAAATGAGTGACATCATTTTTCGAGGTATTGAGTTTACTTTCTATTTATCAATTTTCTTATTTAGTTATTTATTTTTGTGTTTTAGCTCACTTGGAGACAGATGACTTTCAATATGACGTCTTCGTCAGTTTCAGCACCCTCGACTATCCCTGGGTACGAGACAGCCTCACTCCAATGCTGGAAAGAAAGCAAATCAACTACTGCATTCACAGCCGAGACTTTGTAGTCGGGAAAGCAATCATTGAAAACATGGCGGACAGCGTGTATAATAGCAGGAAGGTATTGGCTGTTATTTCACAAAACTACCTGGCCAGTCATTTCTGCCGTGAAGAACTGGAAATAGCTTTGTACCGCTGTACAAAAATGGCAGACTCTTCTCTTTTGCTGATCCGTGTTGATGACGTCGACAAGAAAAACTTACCCAAGACATTGCGAAGACGAACATTTTTGGATTATTCCAGCGCCATGGAAAGGAGTGAATGGGAGCAGAGATTGTTGAAGCACATTCAGGTTGATGAGAGTGATGCAAAGATTGATACAAGAAAATCCAGTGACAAATGTCAACTCATATAAAATATAAAGTGTAAGGTGTAAAGTGAAGAGAAATGCATGGTTTTTCCAGGGTCAAATGGATCGAATAACATCTCTTACACAGAAACAAAGAGCTACCTTCACAGGCAAAAAGGCGAGGAATGCAACAGACTAAGAAAAAAATTGTTAAATATCGCGGAGAACTCTACGCAGACCAAACTCAAGTGTTTTTTCCCTTCTTTTTTGTCTTTGACTTTCTTTAGAAGAAGTTTCTCAAAACTAAGATGTTATCAAATACCAAGAGAGAATAGATCATTCTCTCTTGCAAATACATTGTTGTTTACTAACCTGATTTCTGTCTAGCATCCCACGCAGACGTTCTTTGAACTTGGTCATGTGATCCTTCCCCTTGTTGGGGAGGATTCAGAAATTTTGTCGCGCATAATGCAACCGGAGCTGTGTAAATGACTGAAATAGAGTTACGGATGTTTTATAATCAGTCTGTTGATTTTTGTATGAGCCGTGTTATCGATGTATTCATTATTTTATTTTACGTAAATTTTCATTTTCCAGCCGCTGTTCTGGAAAATATATGAGCCCGTACTTATCACCAACTTATCCCCGCCCCCTCCCTCTTTAAGGAGAACAGGAGCCTATGTGAAAGACGAGAGACTTGTTAGACTTGTTTGAAGCGTTAATAGTTGGTAGATATCCTTTCAGGATAAGTCAAGTCACAGATCGTTAAAGAATTATGTGTTGCCTTGTATCCAGTTAGATTTTACAGTTGATAGAGCGAATGGCCTTCGTTTACTGTAGATCAAGAATGACTGACCTTTGTAGATTTCAAAGGTGTTACAAATCTGGCAAAATATTATCCAATGCTCCGGAAAACCGCTGAAGGCACCGCAATGACTAAGGACGAATAACAGGGCCTAATACCTTGGCCTAATATAAGAGATAATAATATAAAGAGACAAGGTTGTCTCTCTTTCTTCTCCCACTTGTTCGGGTCTCGCTCGCTCGTAAAGCTTTCCTTTTCAAATGCGTTCTTGCCGAGCATTGAGAAATATTAAGGATAATAAATTACAAGATTTATGTAATATGATCGCGTGACGATTTGATCGGTCAAGTTGATATACGATTCTACAATAAACAGTCTGCGAAAACAGCCGTCGTCCGCCGCACCAGGGATGTTTCTTTTCTCCAGGAGAAACGTCCCTAGCGTCCGGGCCCTAGCGGCGAGGAGCGAGAAGAGGTAGGATGACAATAAAGAGTGTAAAGGCGATTCGTGCTATCAGCTGTAAAATTTAACTGGAATCATGGCCACAAATAACTCCTTTGGGCCCGGCGTGTGAAGGCAAGTCCGTCCACAGCGTACAGCTCTATGACAAATTACTGTATGATCATAAGAAGAGCAAACATCCTATTGAAAAGTGCCTCCAATTAAGTCCACTCCGTCCAAGTTCGATCTAAGCACACAAAACTGGCTCTTTTACTTAATCGATGACACACTTACTTGTTTAATTGTTATCGTTTTATCGTCCGTGAGATGATGGTGATCTAATGTTGTTCGTCGAGCTGATTACCTTGACCTACACGCCAACTTTGAATGCCTGTTGGATGCCATTCGCGCCTTAAACTTTACTGAGGTAAATCTTCCTGTCGAATTTGGCCAGTAACCAAACGAATTTGTGCATGCTCTGTCCTCCCTGAACATCGAAAAATGTGTAACGTGCTTCCGGCGATACTTTATTTAGATTCTGACCCCGCCCAACTTTCCGGGTGTACTAAATTTGAGGGTGCCAGTGCTAGGGTAACACAAAGCTTGAAAAAGAGAAGTGTTCATAAAATTTTGTATTTGTTTGCGTTGCTTGGTTTGTTTGTTTGTTTATTTTTTCCTAATGGCTGAACGTATTTACCTCAATTCTTCATTTTACCGTGACCTCATATCATTTCTATTCTCCCTCTCCCCTCTCCCCCTCCCCCTCTCTCCCCACCACGCATAGTCCTGTTTTGACACCACCAAGCTGCAGGATTCCATTTTTATGACAGACCTTTTCCGGTCGATGACAAAAGAATGACATTTTTAGAATAAGGTCACAGGATTACAAAAGCCGTAAGGCGTGAAGCCTCTTCAAAAATTTCAAACTTCCTACACTCGCTCATTAGCGAGACCCCGGTCCTGAAAACTAACTAGCACTCGAAAGCGACCCACAACGAAACCATCAGTAGAAACTGACGAACGTCGAGCTGCCACAATGCACGCTTTCTTTGTACTGTTAGGAGTCTTTTCTCTTCAAGTTGCGGTAAGTTTTTCAGACAACACGACAGCACACATTCTGTTGTTTTGGTTTCTTCAAAGCACATTTACATGACAATAAGAAGATTTCTTTGTTGCCGCATCGACCACAGGCAAAACCGTCGTTATGGTTCATTTGAGGTGTATTATCAAAGTATTTATCTGTAACGTAGCAGTTTCTGTTCAAATTTGCTGCCATATATATATTTGGATGTTATTCGAATTCCAGTGACAAGTAAACAATGGCCTATTGAGAATTTTATTGAAAGGGCAAATATTTTCTTTTGATGTTTATTTTACTGCACAAACTTCTTTTCTTCGTTCGCGTGATACTCCAATATAGTCTACTGTACAATCTGACCGACTTTCTCGTAGTTGGTGCAAGGGCTATGCCAAACTACGAAACATTTCGTTTCGTTCCATTTCGTTTCGCAAACTACAGTAAGCCACATGTCATAACCATACATGAGGTTTGGAAGGGGGGGCCTTCATGGAGCACATGGAGGAGACTGTCGTTAATTTGTCAAATGGGCCGCAGGTTATTTACAAACATCTTTTTACCTTTACTTAATTACTCTTTGATTTTCGTTCATTGGCCGGTTCAGTGTAACATTTCCCCTCGACGGGTGTATCATCAATCTCCAACCTTCAGATTTTTTTCATGAGTAGAGTTGCGGACTAATAAATGACCTTTTCATCGTTCAACGACAACCGGTACCGTATTTCAGCTTATAGGCTTAGCTTATAAAAGACTTAACTAGCGAGACTAAATTTCATAGGCGAATTAGTGTTTAAAAATAATTTCCGGATTGTAGAACCAATAAAATCTAAACAATTCAGTTATCCGCTATAAGATGTTTCTGTTGATAGTATGTGTTAACATTTTAGCCGGAAGAAGATGAATGAAGAACAACGAGGCAAATTTCAAACTCTGTAATGCCCGATCCT